CGACATGTTCCTGAGCTCTCAAAATCTCCAACACAACCTTCCCAAGACTCCCATAATTCATCAGCTTTATCATCTGAAACCATTGATGACTTCACCTCCTTCCGGCGGGCTGATAGCAAGGAGAAAAATAAGAGGAAGAGGGCGAAGAAAAACCCTTACAGCCCAGCGCCACAGAAGAGGAGCTGATGCTGGAGTTTATTATGGACAATCCTGTGCTGTGGAATGTGAAGATGACAGATTATAGGCGGAAAGACAAGAAAGAGAAGATCTGGGAAGAGCAAGCACATCAGATGAACAAGACTGTTGACATCCTCAAGGGCTGATTCAGATCGTTGCGCGACACCCATACGCGCCTTGATAAGAAGAAAAGCGGGGATAGTGCTCCAAACCTGACTGAGAGAGAACAGTGGATCCTCTCAAAGTTTGCCTTCCTGAAGACTGTCACTCGCCACCGACCGGAGCCCATGCAGAGTGTAGATAGACCGCCATATTACCTTAGCAACATGATGACCAAGTAATTTGAGACAATTTCCACATGATATTTTTGGTCTTTCTAGGTGAAGGAAACCATCCAGCTTCACAGAGGAGATCTTAATGCTGCCGAGAGCGCCTGCGCTGATATGCAGGATGTCTTAGATGAAGTCACTCCAATACCATCATCTACCGCTGGAAGGTCCCACAAGCGACCTCAGGACACAAAGAGTGACGTCCTTGAGACTCTACAGAAGAGAGTTGCTGAGTCTGGCACCATCCTCAAAGACATCTACAAAGCCAAACAACAGCCCATTACAGCACGAAGTGTCTTTGCAAATTATGTTAAAGAGAGCCTTTTGACTATGTCCAAGTCCAAGTACAAGAAGGCAAGGTCCTCCATCAATAGGTTATTGTCTGAACTCATGGATGAGGACAGCGATGATGAATTTCCAAGTGCAATGGCGGCTCCATCTATCAAAGTTAACCAACAAGGGATCCCTTCTCAACCACCCCATGATTTGCACCTCACTACAAGTATCTCCTTCTGTTCATTTAGAGCATCAGCACCATCCTTCTCTGAGCATTATCAGAAATCCAGCAACATGCCTATAAACATGCCTCTGGCACCGTTGGTGAGAGGCTCTCAGCCCATGGAGTACATGCAGCAGTTTCACCAGCGGTTATTTCACATCCACATCATCACAAGACTACCACTAAACAACAGCAGATGATTCCTCCTTCCCAACAACTTGCTCAGCAACCGTTGCAGCAAGGCCCGGTTCGTGCCTCTTTGGCTTCTGCAACAGAGTTAATAACGGAAACGTCTAGCCCAACGCCGCACAGTCCAAGCTCAGCCTTTGAGCAAAGTCACCCGAACATTACTAGTCTCTCAGGATTTCGAGAAATCATGGAATCTACTGATGATATTGGATTTCAGGATTAGGTTCTCAACCTTCGACCACCAACGTGAAAGAAGTATTGACTATTTTGTTACTGTAGTAACTTTCACGATAATCGAATTGTCAAAATTAAATTCTCATTTCATAAACTCTCAAAAGCATCGGGGACGGGGAATCCTATAGTTCCGTCTTCTGTTAATTCTTTGATTTCAGAGTTGTTGTAGATCTGTGCGTCCGATGATGACCCTTTACCACCGAGGTCTGCCCAGATGAATTTATTATTTGCGTCTACAAGGCCGATGAGTACAACAGAGTAGAATCCCTTGTAGTTGAAATATTGGGATCCACTTTTTGGTGGACACTTGCAGGCAATGTGCTTTCCATCTATAGCACCACATGTATGGGGGAAGTTCCACCTCTTGAGGAACTTATCAGATATGGCACGCCATCCCTCTGGCGTGGTCATTACTTTGGACATGTATTCGTAGATGATGGCTTGGCAAACCTCTCTGACAATAAGTGACTGGGTGTTGTGGGGGACCCTCCATCCGTACTTCATGGCTGAATACGTGCTCCCGGAGGCAAGATGTCGCAAAATCAAAGAGAGATTCAGCCCAAGCTTCAAGGGTCTTCTATACCAGGTATGTTTCTTGGTGATCCTGGGACTCACTCTTGCCAAAAGCTCATCAAACATCTCGGGGACCATCCGCATAAAGTTTTTGAAACATCGCGTATCCTCGCTTCGGAGTTCCACCAGAAGTTGGTCGTAAATGCCAAACTGCCTTCGCCTTCCGATCCATGATCTCATCCATACCTCACGTCTTTTTCTTTTTCTTTTTCTTTCTCTCCTTTTCCTTCTGTTATTTTCTATTTGACGAATCGTCAAAGCTATGAGATCAAACTGGTATTCAAGAACAGCTAACTCCATCCTTTATCCTCGAAGGTACAAGATGATATGAAGGCATCCAACATAAATATATATTATACACAATAAATGACATGCTATATATTTATATACCCTTTCTCCTAACGTTTGCAATACGCTGAGGATACGACGACCAGGCGTTAACTATACGCTAATTGTACGGTAAATGCGTTACTTAATCGTCAGTCATACGCTAAGCCCTCTATAGACGTTAAACATACGTCACACATAAGTTAGACCCTCGTTACTGATGCGCTATCAACACGTTAGTTGTACGGCACACTTACTCATTTGCGTATGATTAGCGTACTTAACCTATTAGTACAGTACATTTAGCGTCCTTCTGCCGTATTCAGCGTATGACTAGCTTATCTTTACCGTATAAACCATACGTCCAAACACGCACAAGATTTTTAAGCATGCTTAAAAAAAAATTTCTTCCTCGGCGTATACCAGCGTATGTTACCGTGCTTGGAACGTGTATAACTTACGCACGACGTACCACCAGCATATTTCAGCGTATTCCGGCGTATGCGTAATATTTATCATACGCTGCCATACGTTAATGTGATACGCAACAGTGTGACAGGGCCTTTACATTTTTAAAAAAAGTTTTTAGTGAGTATCCTTACTATCGTTTTAGTAGTGCAAATTTGTGGTGTTTTTGATGATTTGAATTCTTAAGAAAGAAAGATATTAATTCAGATACCCGAGGAATACTTTTCAAGATGGAAATACAGTGTATTAATAAGTTTACCGCACATCTTAGTGTAAAATATATGAAAAAGAACAGCACATGTACGTTAACAAAAAAATTATTGTACCAAATAACGATATAAAATGCTTACATAAATTATTTGTAAATTCTTTGTACATAATAATTACTTGTTGTGAAATATTCTAGTTTGTCAATTGACAGAGTCCATGAGAGAGCATTAAAAATTTTGACAAAAGAATTGTCGTTATGATGTATATTTTCAATACGTTGTTGACGTGAGCATCTCCCTGACGTGAGCATATTTGAAGAGCTTGTAGCTATGCCCTCTGCAGTTATTGTCATTGTACTATATCTCCGTATTTTCTGTTCATTTTTTTTCATTTTTCGGCTCGAAATTATATTTATCAAAGGCACAAAAGGGGTCGCTCGTCAGTTTAACAACGACAACATAACAAACGTATTCGCGTTCTTTAGACAAGAAGAAGAAAATGGTCAGAAATTGAACTTAAATTTATATCATAAATTATTTCAATTAAATTATTATAACGCTCACTCCGAAATCCGAATTACGAGCCAGTTATTTTTGGTCGGTAAATTTACGCATGAGACCAAGGACCCCCTGTGAGCATCGGTGGTCCATTCAGCTCCCGATTAAATAGGTCGCGCGCTCAGTCCATCTAGTATATATAGATATAGGTCAGTGGTAGTGACCCAGCTGTCCTAAATAAGCCCGCCTTTACTTCACATGCAGTCTTTTGTCCAACTTTTTGCAATTAAACAGCGCAAACAACATAAGTGTGCTTTCCAATGCTTGATAAGTGTACCTCTCAGATGAGTTAGTAACCTAAATGGTTACCATTGCTAGTTTTTTTCTATTCTTTTGGCTTCACGTTCGACGATCGCGTTGATAAAAAAAATAGAAAGGGTCTGGCACTGGTACTCAATTTGGCTCTAACTGGCTTCAAAAATGGCGACCAAATAACTATTAGTTATCGTTGCATTGCTTATAGAGTTCACTGCTGAGTGCTTCCAACTACTTGAATCAGATCGAAGTGTACAAAAGACTTTGCCTGAATTGATTATTTAATTGACATGCTGTCAACAACGTTGAAGTGCTTTCATATTTAACATACTTTTTAACATTTACATAATTATATAATTTTAGATATTGAAGCATGCATGCACGCATACGGACATACCGAAGTGAAAAGGTGCACGCTACACCTTCTGCCAATTACAACGGCCCTAGAAAATTATTATGATCAACACACTAAATAAAGAACAATTTAAAAATTAAACTTTTAAAAACTGATTAAACTTTGTGAAGCCTCCTCCCTTGGTTTAACAAGCTTGACCAAAACGCTTCATTTTGAAAGCTGAAGTTTGTCATTTAGTATTCATGATAAAATCATGAACTTCTAAATTGACCTTCATTTTCCCTTACGAACACATATATTTATAATGATATAATGGTTTGACATAAGATATAATGGGGACAAATGCAAGTGCGCATAGTCGCAGGGGAAATGAGTTGGTTGGACTAAGATACGAATAGCTCCAATTTGTGTGAATGTAGTCGAAATTTGAATATGGATGCATGCAATCTCGATATCACAGCAACCATAAACTTGTAATCAGTTTAGTTTAGTTTTTTAGCATTTTCAAATTCTATCCTCGAAAACCAATTAAATAGTTTTGGAAGTTCAAAATATTCTTTGAAAAGAGCACAATACCTCACCATTAAACATGACGTTGACGCCCTATTAAACATTACCTTGGTCACCCAAATGTTCATGGGATCATCATCAACTACACAGATCGAAAACCAATAGTCGAAAATAAGTAGTTTAGAAGTCGTTTTAGCAGTAAAGTAAAGTTCTTCTTTAACTACAATTAATCTTCCATGACTAATTGACGCACCTCGTTGATTATTTTTATGCAATTTCGACATAAAACGATTCTGAACTACAATCACAAAAAACAATTTTGAAGAAGGTAAAACACATATATTTTGGAATCTATAGCACCCAGTAGTAATAGTGCCCATATTATTAAACACGAAATGTGCAGTGCTGTCTCTAGTTCTAGTTTTATTATATACTTTTAAAGAGCATGTTTTCAAATGAGCTATCATTCGGCGCTCGAGCCTCTTCTACCTAATCCAAACAACAGGCATGCCATTGATGGTTCATGTAACAGGTTCGAGAATCATCGCAATTGTGGCGAACTTCTGAGCAACCCTGTCCTTCAATTCCTTCGTAGTACTTTTCACACTTGCACTCATCATCACCTTCGCGTTCACAACGTGATATATCGGCTAGACGACAATAAGCAGTATTTTAGTTAAATTTACTCTCATATATACACCATTATTTCATTAGTGCAAATTTCCGCTAAAACCTAGCTTCCACACGCTATTTAGAATAAAATACGGATATTCAGTTCAGAATTCCTGCATGGATGGCGTCAATATGTAAGTAAGTTTCGCACACGGAACAGTGGCGTTGGCGTTGCCAGCCTGCCGACTTGCACCGCTATGCAAATATTCCGGTGTCCATTGACTGTATATATGTATATGCATGCATTGATCTGAGGGTATATAGGTTACACAGGATTTTTATTTCGCTTTCTCTGAGTGATAAAGAACAACGATGAAAGGTAATTATTCCTTATAATGTACCTCAAAAAATGCCACATCGGCCTTGGGATATCAGTATAGTAACATACCTCGGTCGTTAAACTCGAACGACTTTCCCCACGTTCTCGCTGTAGCAAGTGCAACCACCAATAGCAAGAGAAAAGAAGACACTCGAACACTCATTATTGTTTTCTTTTAGGCTATAATCAAGAAAACATGTGTATAGCCCGTTAGCTAGTACAATGTTCACAACTTCACAGAGCTATAGTTGTAATTGGAGCCATATTTCTGTACTCTTACAAAACTCTGAAACGGAATATTCTTCAAACTGGATATTTAGAGCCTTAACTTAAGCTTGTTTTGATGCAAACAATGAACACATCTTCACACAATAGTTTGCTCCAAATAACTTTCAAAGAGCCCTATACGATTCCTATCACATTATAAAATATTAGCATCTGGGTTATTCGATAAACGTACAATATGTAGCTGGACTATATTCCACAGTCATCATCCAATATTAATTCTGCTTACATTACCCTTCGAATGTCGACTTACTTCGTTTTCCACTGCCAGCCAGTCGCCTTCAGGTCTTGTGAATAAAACTGAAAGCTACTGTTTCCCTCTTTCTGTGGCCTCTGCGTGATAATTCAAGGCAGTGAATATGTAATAGAGCAGAACTGGTACCGCCTACCGCCTCCTTGAATGGATCCACAAACAATTGAAATAGGTTGTCTCGCTTTTTAACTTCCCCTCGTGCACGTCATGACTCCTCTCCTGCGTGCAGGATGAATGCAGTTTGAATTTACCGTCCGGAAATAAGTCTCTATTTTAACACGCAAATAAAAAAAGCTTTTTCGCACGTGTATAGATCTTTCATCATTTACGCTACCGTATAGAAACATTGGAAATGATAATTCAAGGTATAGATAAGTGATATTACTAATATAGCAGAAACCACAAACACTTAAAAAAAGGCAGATTAAATTTAACCTCAAAATACATGGATGTGTGTTGTAAGCAATAGTTATTGGAGTTTCGAGATTAAATCGTATTCGCTTTTCATTGGTCTCGATCGCATATTTATTTAAATATGGAATTTCATGTGCACGTTGAGCACGTATAAACACGCTGAACTGGATGGCTAACATGTGTCATTAATATTGCGGTCACTGGATGGCCAACATGCGTTATTAATATTGCGGTAGGAAGATAAACATGTTGGTCCAATACAATGACCTGCATATAAGGAACTGATAAGCCACAGCTCATGAATAGTCCGTGGATATATACAGTTAAAGCAAGCACTGCATGCATGCCAGGGCAAGCAAAATCGCAACATGTATACTGTATTTTCTCAGGATAGAATGCTAAGCCTGTTCATACATGTCGCATTTTGCCACGTCAAACAACAGGTAATGGGATGACAAGCTTTATTATCATCTCTTTATCTATAGTTTGAATTGTGTTTGACGCTACTTCATATAGTATCATGCGTATAATACATATCATTAATATACTTTTGTTTCAGAGCTCTCAACTGCAATCATCTGCATGGAACAAATTGCTCAAATACAAAAGAATAAAGACGCTTTGCGCGAAAAATATCGCTTGTGGAAAGTGATTCTAGGTTTAAAACGATCATGTGACGTGATTATTGAAAGGTCTATTAATAATTAATCGCCCAAGGCGAGGTGAATATCGTTGCATAAAAACTGAGACGAATGCGAGGTCACTCGACCAATCAGAGGCCACAGTTTTCAATAATCACCTTTGTAACTTTGTAATTACACAAATTAGCTCCAATTAATGCCCTAACTTCATCTTGTCTTTGTCTATACATAAAATAAAGATTATATCGAATACATTCATGGTGTTAATAAAAAATGTTGACCAATACACAATGAAATTGTCAAAAAATTTTATTGACACAACGAATCTATTAGGAATAACTTTTATTATATGTATTTCCTGAAATTATAATATGCAGCTGAAAATGGTTTGTGAATACAAATCAGTCAAATCGATCAGTCTCGAGAGAAATATTCCTACTCTTTGCAGTTTACATTACACTGGCCACGATGTGAAGATAATATACATTTGCTTTACACGACACAAGCGGTTGTATCCGCTTTCTATACATTACAATTTGATCAAGGTTAAATGGATTGCTTGTTGGTTTCGAAACGGAAAGTCGGTAAAACGTAACAGGATGTTTTTCTATATTTTGTAAATATGAAACAAACAAGTTTGTTTGTTTTTCTGCTAGCTAACTGTTCCCGCAAATGCATGCAAGTTGGTTAACCATCCCTAGGAGCGCGTTTTAGCAAGTAATGCGCAAATTGCGGTAACCACGCTATATCCGTTGCGCGAGCGTCAAGTTCTAGTTATTTCATTCCGGTGCTGTTGCGCATAAATACACTATAGCCAAATTCTCATTTTAGTTCAGCAGTTAATGTGGACGCTGACGAGTGAGCAACTTTGTATTGGAAACCTTATCGTACTTGCATAAGGGCTAAACCTATTATCTATCCAAGTTGGAACTCATTTTATATTGGTTTAAAAAGAGGCTTTACAGAGTACGCGTGCAAGCCAAGGTAAGTTCACAAATATCAGTTTCCTCAATTTCAATTGTTATAGTTATTCTTTTCAGCTAAACGCCAGCGATATGTATATATATATATTTGGGCTATTTCGCGATTGGCATATAATCGGTCTATGCATGATTAATTAGTCACTTTCAGTCTGCGCAATTTATTCAGAATTTAAAGGCTTTTCTGCAATACGTTGCGTAATGTTTGAGGACATGAGCGAATGCACTATTTATGGCGCTTGAAAGGACAATACAAACTTACCTGCATACGATTTCTGCCAATGATCGGCAAAGAATCGCGGAATGCAATAAGGTGTGTTTTTTGGCGATCTTTACCGATAATCGCCGGCTGGCACCTGCTTAAAATTTAAAAGAACTTGCATCCGCAAATTCCAGAGAGTTTCCCGGCAGTTTCCGCAATATCAATCCATTCATCATCACTGAAATTAAGATGGAAAAGAGAGGAGAAACAGAAAAGTAGCCAGTAACTTAGGCTAGGTGCTGCATGAAGAACCCTATTTTGTTCAATAGGAAACAGAGAGAACTACATGAGGGTAGTAGATCAAGTTGGATCCACTACATGAACAAAGTAGATCCACTTTGATCCAAATATCCGAGCGGAATTAGTACCCTCAACGGCGCTTCGCACCGGACTGGTATATCATTGACAATTTGTTTTCAATCTTTTCTCCTATTCGTCTATTTAAATATTTCAACCAATTTTTAAAAAAAATTGTGTATAATACTGCATGAAGCCATCCTTGTAAATAAGCTTAATTTCCCTGAAGAGGTTGTGAACCATACAACGAAACATTAGCAATTAAATTTTACAGTTTTTTATGTCTTCACTCAAAGTCTTTTGCTGGGCTTTAATTTCCAGTCTTAATTGCTTCCCAGTTTCAAAATATGAGCAAACTATATCAACCGATTCCTAAACAATATCCCGCATTTTCATTAAAAAAGTTTAAAATAAGATTTGATGAATTAAATTTAAAATATAAAATGAGTAAAAGAATAACGTACGGATTGTGAGGATTCCACCTTGACATATAGATTTTTACTTTTCCAACTTTACTAGATTTTGCTTTTGTTGTTTTACAGAAAAGTAAGTTTTCCTTCCTTGCACGTGGTTTTCAAGACGGAAGAACAACAGCGGGAGATCTAGCGTCTCAATCAGCCACTTTTTAAATTAACTCTCTGAGAAAGGTTTTTTGAGCGACCAGTAGTCTGGCTAGTCAATAATGCAAAACAGGGATTGTTACGTAAACTAATTAGTAGATCTGCAATTGATGATGTCATTAATCAATATTGGAAGCACGCGCACGCCGGGATAGACATTGCAGGCGCAGCGCATATTTTGTAATTTACTAAGGCGCAGGCATTACAATCCTAAATACATATCAAACACACTCGTTCTTTTCAGGTACGTCAGTAGCTCAGTGGAAAGAGCGTATATATTATAATTTATAGTCAGTTGATTCGCAAAGTATATGGTCATCAATGGCCCACCAATCGCCCAAATCTTTCCCAAATCTCCAACAGGGGGGAACCCTTATTGTTCAGAATTTAAAAAACCCTAGCATCTTAAATACTGCCATATATGGGAATATCGCCCGACAGCCCTTAAAGCGCTGGTTGCCTCCCCCCCACACGTCTGGTCCCTGGCTACGCCCCTGTTTAGGCGTCGCTTTAGCATTAAAGTAAAGTTCACCTTAATTTGACTATCCTTCTTTGTTCTTACACATTTCAACATAAAACGGTTCTGATACAAATCAATGCAAAAAACACAATTTTGAAGAAGGAAAAACACATGTATTTTATAGTCTATATGCCAATATTATGAAATGCAGATACACTGTTGATGACCTGTTTCTATAGTTCTAGTTTTATTTCATACAAGCATGTTCTCGAATATGCTATTATTCGGCCATCGATTACGGATCTTCTTCTTCCTAATCCAAACAACAGGCATGCCATGGATGGTTCATGTAACAGGTTCGAGAATCATCGCAATTATGGCGACCTTCTGAGCAACCCTGTCCTGGAATTCCTTCGTAGTACTTTTCACATTTGCACTCATCTTCGCCTTCGCGTTCACAACGTGATATATCGGCCGCTAGACGACAAATTTAAATTTACGCTAAATATATCATTATTTCATAAGTTCAAATTTCTGCTGAAAGCAAGAAGGCTATATTATAGAATAGAACATGGATATTCAGTTCAGAACGCTCTAATACTATTCCGGTTTTTTAAATGAAAACTGCTTGCCAAGATAAATTGACTTTCGCACGGGTGTATATAGCTTGCAGATGTTAGATTATCTCTCCTAAATACTATCTAAGTCAAGATTACTTTTTACTAAATTAACTTTTAAGTTACATTTAAGTTATTGTTGAACAAATGTTTTCATTATAGGGAATCTAAAGTTGATGCTACTTACAAATAAATAAATGGGTTAACATATTTTTAGGTACCTATGTATAAAATACTTTTGTCATTGCAATAAGTTTTTAAAAAACGCTTGAACTCTATAGTAGCTATAAATCGTTGAATTATAAAAAAATATCTGAATATTTATCGTGAAATTGCAAGATATGCGTTGAATTGACGGTATATAGTGGGAACATGCACCGCGTATATATTATACAGGATTTGTATTTCTCTTTCTCGTTCCTGGCAGATAGGAACTATACCGAAAACTAATTGATATTTTAATGTATACCTTGTAAAATGCAAAATCGATATCGGTCTGTAGAGAATCGGTAACATACCTCTCGCTAAGGCGAGTGCAACCACCAATAACAAGAGAATAGAAGCTCGAACGTTCATTATTGTTTTCTTTTAGGCTATAATCAAGAAAACAAGTGTAACGCCCCTAGAATGTTCACAGCGTTAGAGCTATAGTTGTTGGAGTCATATTTCTGTACTCGTACAATACTCTGAAACAGAATGTTCTTCAAATAGGAAATTTAGGGCTTCAATCTAGGCTTGTTTTGATGCAAACAATGTACACAACTCCATAATATAGATATATAATTGGCCAAAAAAACTTCTCATATAGGACTATATGATTCCTATTACATTATATGGAATAGTATCTGATTCATTCAATAAAAGCACAACTGGACAAAATGTAGACCATATTCCACACGTTTAATATCAATTCTGCATGCAGTACATTACCCTTCGAATACACTACTTCAAAGAATCTCGACTTACTTCGTTTTCCACTGCCAGTCAGTCGTCTTCAGCGGTCAGGTCTTGTGAATGAAGCTGCAAGGTATCGTTTCTCTCTTTTTGTGCCCTCCGTGTCATAATTCAAGGCATGAAAAGGTAATAAAGCAGAACTGGTACCGCCTATCCACTCTTTGACCGGATCCACAAACACTTCAATACGTCGTCTCGCTTTTTAACTTCCCTCCCATGCACATCATGCGCCTCCCACGCGCGTGGAGCATGAGTATCTAGCAGTTTTAAGTCCTGCGTTCTCAACCAGAACTATATAATAGCTTTAGCTATTTCACAATTATAACTACTAGCTTTATTTTAACACGCAAATAAAGAAGCTTCTCTACTCGTTTGAGTTTCTAGAAATCTCTCGGCATCTTCGCGACTTTACAAACATTGGAAACCCTAAGAAAGAAAAAAATTATTGCGGCCTCAAAATCTCCTGCTTTTGTATGATAAACTACGTCGTCTCGCTTTTTAACTTCTCCTCATGCACAATATATGACCCCTCCCCCGCGTGCAGCATGAAAGGCAATTTGGATTTAAAACCAAAATACAATCAATGTGTGTTATGTGAACAATAGTTATTAGCTAAGAGTTTCGTAACACAAACATATTCGCCTTTCGCCTCGCGCATTATTTATATAGAGTTTAAATGTTCACTTGTTTGCATTCAACAACAACAGTGATGGTAAATAGTGTAATGTTCACTTGTGATATATAAATTATTTAGCAATGCTCAACATTTTTTACTTCATTACTTTTTCGAATACTTTGTTACTTCTACTATAACAATGGTCTATACACCTGGGGCCGGTTGTTCGAAGCTAGGTTAGCGCTAACCTGGGTTAAAATTTCACTAAGCTGTTTTGGTTTATGGCTCTGCACCGCTATTTGTTTCAAGACTTAATAATATAAGATTTTTATTTATCCACAAAATATTCATGGAAAAACATGTTCAACTACAGAAATGAGCGATTGAAAAAACTGATGTAAAAATTTGAATTAACCCAGGGTTAGGCTAACAGGCTTTTGAACAACTGGCCCCTAGAAGCTACCCAAAGTATTGACAATCGACAACGAATATCAATGTGCCAAAGAGTGCCGAAAACGAATCTTGTTCCCATTGACGACTCAAAAATGTTTGCAAAATATGATGTGACCAATAGGACATGTAACGCTGGTGTTTATTCAAACATATGAACTCGCTGCAGAAAAAAACGATTGCACCTTTTGCCTTGTTGCAATAACCTACTGTTCACTGAATGTGGAAAATATAAAAGACTATTTAAATTGTTCTACTTATTTACAATATATATTGTGTATTTTTTTATACCATTGTAAAACCTTACCAGTTATTTCAGATAAGTGATAGTTAAGATAACTAATATCTAAATTAGTTACTTTTGTGTACATTGTACTGCTGTAGTTCTATTTGCTTGTGTTCTGTGGCTACACCCTATACCTGTGAGGCAGCGCTTCACTTGCGATAGTAACTTCTAGTTTAAATATCGAGTTGATATGCGCTGAACAGGATGGCCAACATGCGTTGTCAATATAGGTTAATAGGTTGGTCCAAAACACGCGAGCTTTGCGTGCAACGGTGGCTTGATATGATAATCTCATTAATTATCCATGTTTTCACAAATAACTTTTACAAACACTATACAAAAATCTTTGCACAGCTTAGACGCACCTCGCTCACCCTTAACACCAAATTTGTGGTATATAGGGCTGTTGAATATTAAAAGTTGCATGCAGTAAAGTAAAATACCGAATTCTGCCAGTTTTAGTCGAGATCTTTGAACTTATTTTAAAATTGAACAGTTCATAACCAGAAATAATTGTTTATTATGACACTAACCTGAGTGTCATGGGTATTATGGGTGTCATGAGTGTCTTGGGTATTATGACACAGAAAGAAAGCTTTTCTATCCTTTTCAATTTTTTAACTTAGGCGAAACATGCATGCAGCTACAATCCTTTTCACTATCATATAGCATATCTGTGGGTATTAACTAACCTATAATTTATGGTCTAAATTAATCTTTTGTGTGAGGTGAATGCAAATCAGACCGAAGGTTCAAAGGGTCTTGTGGAATTATACACACTTTAAATTCAAGCCATCAACTGTTCCTACATGGCTTGAATTTAAAGTGTGTATAATTCCACTCGAAATTAAGCCCCTAAAATATTTTATCTGGCTAATGCTTTCCAAAGTTTTCTGTGTGCTAAATTTGTTCCTTCATACAATAAAAACAGCCAGACCGGTCCTGTTGTATTTGAAACACGGGCAGATTACTGGTATATTAGAGGGTTAGAGCGTTCCAAGAACTTTTCAGTCAGGTATAACGTTAGTAGTGAGTTTGAGAAATACAACTGCAACGGTAACGGCAAGACGGCAAGACGGCAACGGCAAAATATATTCACCTAATATTGTGGTATTAAAGAAAATACGAGCTAGTATAGACTTGATTTGCCTCTTCAAGTTTCCTCTTTCTCTGAAACAGGTGAGTTAATAAAAAATAATATGATCGATCAGCAAAGTTGCTTCTAGCACTCCAAACAATATCGAACAAACAGAACGTAGATCAGGTTTAAACCTCCCATAGGTATTTAATAATTTATTTCTTTTCAATGAATAATTGTTTTGATAACTGCCGTCGTCGTGTTCCCGTCCTACATGCTTAAGTCCCTATTGGTATAAGTCACGATGCCGTTTCAGCAACTACGACAGTGTGCAACGTTGCAGGCCACGTAATTTACAATTTCGTTTGTCTTAAAGGATCAATAGCATGCATTGTTGATAAGGATATTGCGGTTGTTGCCGTTGTATTTCCCAAACTCACTATTTACACTGCATGGCACCGCAAAAATGCAGTCTCGTCGTATTATTCTTAACGAAATACTGTATTTCAATTCGAAGTATGACTGATGTGGCCGTTTTGGCCGTTTAATTAAGGAAAGCGCCAAATACTATATACCAACGATATTCTTTCTACAGTTAAATATTTAATTAGCTGTCAACAACAACCTTGTTTATGAAACGTTGTTCTGACAAGCTTGACCAAAGCACTTCATCTTGAAAGTTTATGTTCGTCATTTGGTACTTGTAAAATCATGAACAATGTCAATGAAATGAACCCTACAACTCATTTCCCCCTTTGGAACCTTATTATAATTATATCGTGGAATTACACACGGACGGAGTTAAGGTAGACCATTTGCAAGTGCACGAGATTTGACATAGGAACTTGAGAATGCTGTATTACTTTACCATTGCAAAGCAGCAATTTATAAATGGCAAAATTGATGCTAATTGTCAACTCGGAATTCGTGCGAGCAGGCTACTCAGACCTGGTTGTCTCCAGATAATCTTCTCCGTATTCATAAGTGTCAGGATTCGTGGCCTTAATTGTATACGGAACATCCTAAGAATCTTTTCCGTTTTCGGACGTTTACTCATTTGGGGGTGCTGTCGAAGGCGGAACAAGTATCAAGCACTTTATTCTTTCGAAACGCGAATTTCGATCATAGATTTTCACGAGACATTGGCATCCTAGAACTTGTTTTAAACGTATGTTCTGGAGCGGAGAGATTCCTTTAAGTAGTTTAAGGTTTCTGGCTATAAATTTCTTTACTTTACCAATATCTCCAAGTTATATTTATGATAATTTGATCTATGATTAAATGTAGGAAATGGTTTAATTCTTTACAGCAGCTTTCTTCATGAAAACACCGATATCTTGCAACGACTTCTCTCAAGACAAAATAAACAGCAAGTTGATATTATAAAGTTATTTTCTCGTTGGTAAGGATATTAAGAACAGTTGCAATGCCGTTCACGGATTACCATCACCCTTGCTGCGGACACTGTATTGTGCATGAACAGGGCAATCTCATCGTACCCAGGCCTTTAATAGAGCCTGAAAGTAACATTCACTTAATATATAGAGATCAGAGGTTAGGAGAGGAAGCACTGGGTCAGGGCTTAAAACACATCTCAACTAATGCATGAACGCCAAAAAACATGATTATAGACCTAATGATGATATAGTGTATGATATATAGTTGATGTATAACCACATAGCACATTAATCTTGTGCTTGCACACCTGTATAACGAGGAGTGTGTACAAACTTTAGAGTCAGTCTGACAAACTTCAGAGTCAGTCTTCAATCGTTAACGTGACATAATAACATGTTCCGAGTATATTTGCCATGATTTACCGTGTATAGACGTTGATTAATGCTTTATAGTTGCCAACGCTGTCTATCTTGACCTTGGTGACATTGATATTGATGTTTTGATCACACAAATCTGTCATTATATTCTTTCCTGTTCATCAAATTCTGAATATTTTGTATCCGAGACTCAAAATTCACCCGATTTTTGAGGTTAAAAATCTCCATAGCCTTCCAATCCCTACAACCCCCCCCCCCGCTACTTGGGGTGTAAGTAATATGCAACGAGCAATTTCTTTGACACATCTGTATCACGATGAAGTCCAATCATATTAAAGAGGCTCTCTCTCATCATTGCACCAAACTTCGTTATTATAAATTACCTTATTACAAAATTGAAAAGCATAATTATACATTATAAAAGTGAATTGAAAAATTGTTACATTTTTACGCAAGAAAGTCGTATGTAATGTATATAATTGACTTTCAATGTCAAAATTATTATTGCTATTTATACAGTGATCATAAAGGCTTTCGTGATTTGAAACTTCCAATCTTGTTTCCTAGCTTGCAGAGAATTCAAAGTTTAATACAAGTGTAAAATAAAACGTAATTAATACTTGTAAAATTAAATCTCTGTGATACTAAAAGTCATTAATAATCGTTGAAACTGTCTTTCTCGGCGAAACTGATCGCCAGCGTTTTTTCAATGTTAAATGTGTATTAAAATTCAAGATACTGCCGGTCATACAGTCTGGTCAGATTATTCTCACATTTGTGCTTCCATAATTGTAAAGGAAGCTTTCTTTTAAAATTTTTATTGCTTTTATCTTGGCACGTACAACGAGCGTCTAAATTTTTTTGGTTCACGTAGCAAAATTATGCCAGTTAGTGCTTTGATATTTATCTGTAG